CCATCCCTGGAGGTATTTAAAAGACGTGTTGATGAGGTGCTTAGGGACATGGTTTAGTGGGCATGGTGGTGTTGGGTTGATGGTTGGACTCGATGATCTTAGAGGTCTTTTCCAACCTTAATGATTCTATGATTCTATGATCATGTACATATGCTGCAATCTTACCTCCAGGTATGCAGTGTGTGTGGTCTGAATATTTCTCTGATGCCCAGAGAAATGAGAAAACTTCAGGTTCTTGGTTTAAGTAAGATAGAATGAGTATTTGATGGTGCGTGAAGAGAGCACCTCATTTGCCAGAGCGATGAAAGCAGCACAGTATTTCCAGATTTAGAACTTACTAGATTCTTTTGATAATGCTTCAATAAATAAGATGATTGCAGTCAAAGGACTATTAATGATTGTTTTCTCAAGTGTGGCCCAGGTCTGTGGGTGGAGTGTCAGCAAGGAGCAGTTCTCTGACAAGCAAACAAGCTGACAGTGTTTAGAACTCCCTTAGAGACACGGGTCCTTTGTTTCATTTCTCACTCCACAACATGACAAAGAGGAAAAATTTAGGTGGAGCTCATGTAAACTAGGAAAACATACCATGATCTTCCTTCAGTTTGCATCCTGGGAACATGAAGAACAGGGTCGTACAGATGATGAAGAGCATGCTCCTTCTCCTCATTTTGCTGGGAGTAGTATCTGGTAAGAACATGATTTCATTACACTGCTAAAATTAGAACACTGTTGGCTGTTATACTTTCTCTTGGGAGCTTTATAATACATATTTAGGGATCAGACACAGATGGAAAAAATCAAGTAACAATTATTTTCCTACTGAAATAGATTGAGCTCTGTGGTTACAGCAGTATAATGAAGAAGAGAATATGACTCCTTGCTAAGACGCTTTGCTGGATGAGGCACTTCATGTGCAATAGCCACTGCTCAGTGTGACAGTGTTGGAGTGGGAAAGGAGGTCAGCTCTCCAAGAAATAATATCTAGTATTAATACTCCAGTATTCTCCTTTCAAATATTGATAACATTTCTCTTCAATGAAGTAAAACAAACAACCAAACAGGACCACACAGGAAAACACTTGTGGAGAATATTAGTAAGGTAATTTCACTATCTTTGCCCAGCGTAAAAATGTGGGAGATTTGCCAATATGAATACGTGCACGTTAGCAACGTAAAGTAGATCTTCAAACTGCAGTCTGTGTGGCTCATGGAGCACTTGGTGTTGCTTGTAGTAAGCTAGCTGCTCAGGTAGCGTCACTTTGCACTCAAGGAACTGAAAGAGTTCTGCCAACCCTCAGGAACCTGTCAGTATTTAGTGGTTTTCCTAATGTCCCTGAAACTGTGGTCAAGACACTGCATGTGAATCTCAGCTTTCCTTGAAAAATAGTGTTTTTCTAACCTGCATGGTTGTGGAGAGAGAAAAGGTTGAAGGTGTGACTGAAGCACGCTCTAAAGACTAACAAATCACAGACAAATAAGACTTAAATATACATATACTTCTCAAAGCCAGTTTCATGATTGCTCTGTCTTGGACTCAGCATTTGTCAATGTTTGGGGTTGGTAATTCTGATAAATAATGTACTAAATTGCTTCAGGCATGTTTTGCTCTCCAAAGTAAGGAGGTAAGCAAGGACTTGTGAATATGTAAGGAGGGCTTTTGTAAAATCAGTTGGAAGAAGAAGAAGCCATTTAGATGCAGTACTGAAAATTTCAGTTAAAAATAAAGAGCAAGAAGTAAGAACTTGTGATTTAGAAAGACAAATCCTGAATAAACAGTCAATGAAATCTTTCAAGATAATATAAAAATAGCAACTCCTTTCTTTCTACATTTCTAAATGTTATGAATGATTTAATGGATTTTATGAATGGTTTCCATTAATGAACAGTGGCTTGCTGAGGGAACTGGATTCGTCAGGTACTGTCCACAGGAGATTATATTCGAAGTTCAGCTCCATTTATGGAAATGTATCCCCAGAAGCCCCTCTCAGCCCAGTCTCATTTGCATGGGCAATTTTTGTTGATGATGTTTACCAGAATCTATAAGAACATTGATAAAAACCCAGTCCTTCACCGGGTCCTGCTTCCACTGACATAAATCAGTATCAGTAACAGCTCAACTGAACAGCTCAGCTGAACTCAGTCCTACCGGAGTGTCAGTGTGACCTGTTCAGATTAACTCTTACAGGCAGTTCCCACCTCACCAGTCTCCCACATCCCAGCCTGTACCTCACCCGCCTGCAGAGCATCTCCAAGGCTTTTTTTTCCATCAATACCAGAGTAATCCCAGCCAGATCAGTGATCCATGGACCTGCTGTATCTGGAGTGTGGGAGCATGGGAACCTCCATGCAGCTGTGGAGAGGCTCCAGGGAAGCACCTCAGCTCTGCCTCTTACCAGTGAGGCCCTGTGCTCAGAAGAGGTCTTCCCAGAGACAAACTCTCCCACCATAGCCTAGTATGGCTGGTTACGTGAACAACACCCCCTGTGCTCCCTCCTTCTCCTCCCCACAATGCAGTGAGTCTTACAGGCTGCAAGAGGAAGAACTGGAGATGTCTGATGGAGTCATGCTGCTCTAAGAAGTGCTCCAGGAAACACTGCAAGGACAAGTGCCGCCTGGGGTGGGATGCGGAAAGAGGGGAGACCATAGGACTCCATGCTTTGTCTTGTGGACTCATCTACTGCTATTAGTTTTGCTTCTTATGTAGCAAAGGCACTGGGATCCTAAGTCTTCTCTGATCCTATAGGGAACTGTTATTTGAGAGGCCAGTAATAGGAGCAATGTCTATCACACAAAGGCTATATGTGGGCTATCTCCAAAATGCTCCAAAATTTTTCTAGGGATGTAGGGAAACAAGATTTTTTGATAGTTTGGGGAAAAAGTCACTAAGGCTTCTTCTAATGTCATTGGAAAGTATTGGAGCTGAACTCTCCCCCTCCAGATTAGAAAGCCTGCTGCAGTTGGAAGTGCATGGAGTGCCTCTTTGGTAGCTTATGTGGGCCATCCTTCCCCAGCCACATGAGAAGGGGCAAAGGGAGATGGTTCTGTCCCACACCACAGAGATGTTGCAAAGCAGCAGATTTCCCCTTGGCATTGCGTTCCCAAGCTCCAGGCTGAGCCTGAGCATCCAGCTGGAAACATGCTACAGCCTTAATGGCCTCAGATGAGTTCCCAAAGCAGCTTTTTACCTTGCAGCTGCCCAGCAAAAATAAAGACTTCATGGAGCTTTTGCTACAGTAATTGCTGGTGTGTGAACAGCCTGGCCAGACCCTTGAGTGAGCAGTATCTGCCTCCGTCTTGGCACACAGTATGTTGGAAGTTTGACTGAACACAGCCAGCTTTCTTGGCAAGTGTTTTGGACAAGCCAGCGAAGCCCCCCCAAGCAACATTCAGCCCTGCCATAGTCTCATGTTGAGGTACATTGCCAGGTTAGGGATGTCCTGATTTATGTTTTCTAGACAGTCTTCAAGAGATAAAGCACTACAGGCCGTTGTTAAAATAATAAGAACCACAAGGTAAACAGCAGAGCAAACACAGGTTTTGTTCTGGGGAGTCCAGAGGTCTGACTGAGAAACAAGGACCTCATGCAAACCTGCTGGATGTCACAGTGCTCTGTGCTGCTTCCAGGCAGTTTTGAATGGTAGGATGCTTTTGTGGGCTTGCATCTCCTCCAAGGAATGGAGGTTGCTCTTCCATGCTCAAAGCAGAAGACACAACAGCACAAAATTCCAAAGTTGTAGCTAACTCACACTACTGACGAGCCAGCCATGCACATAGCTGTGCTAGAAAGAATAAGAATAGGGAAAAAGGAGGAAATAGGCGCTGCAGATGGCGTAATTCACGAAAAAGATGGCTTCTTTAACATCCAGCCCTGTGTGATTCAAGGTGCTTTTTGAGGTGATTAGTGCACAGAGGCAGCAATTAGCACAGGGGGTGAAATGAAATAATAGAAACATATTCAGTTTCTTTGCTTCTATAAAAAGGCATATATGAAGGCAAACGATGCAGTAGCAATACTACTTTAACATCAGCCACTCTAGATGTATAGTATAGTACTGAATTAGAGAAAAGATTGATTCTTTTGCCATTAGCACTGGATTTACTACCGTGCAATGCCACCATTCATAAGCAAAAAGAGAATCAGGCCATTTTGTGCTCATTAATGGAAGCTCTTGGCACAAGCTGTGTGCTCCTGCTAGCCTAAGATTCCCAGAAGTAATTTTACATTCATTTTCATCTTGCAGGAAGAAGAAGCCAGTTGCTTAAGGGCTTACCTGCAACAACCACTGTTGAAGAAAATGCAGCAGCTGGTGTTTCAGTTTATACCTTTAATGTAACTGTTTCTCCATTGTCTTCTGAAGGTGTTGCAATACCTACCATAGTAAATTCAAATCCACTTACAAAGGCTTTTGATATTGAACCAAAAGGAGATCTTGAATACAGGGTGAGTTTTACGTTTAGCTTGAGCAATGTTCAGTCACGTAGGCTGATGTTTCCTGGATTACTGAGCACTGACAGCGTACAGTGACTCATCTTTTAACCAGAAAAGACTTGCAAATGCAGACTGTGGTAGTATTTGGACATGCTGTAATAGATATGACAAATGAGTAGCAATAGTGATTATAATTTTTAATTACATCTAGGCAAAACCCACCTATCACAATAATTCCATTTATTCTGTGATAGAAAAAATGTGATTTTTGGAAAATAAGAGGTGAAGAAGGACATATAGAACCTGCTTCTGTTTTGAGGATTTGTCCATAGTTTTTCAACTGAATTTATATGAAGTCACTGTGAATTTAAAGTGGCTTAGTTAAACAACATGCAGCTTCTGTTTGGCCACTCTCACCTAGAACTAAAATGAATTTGACTCACTTCCAAAATAAAGTAAGCTGAGTCAGATCAAAGTCATATTTAATTCTGAACGAAGGCTGTGATACATGAGGAAGTTATCTTGAGGTAAGAAGTTATCACACTTCCGCACATCTGTGATCTATTTCTATCTATTGCATGCTCTTGTCCTATGTCAAATGCAAAGCAATTTCTATTACTTCAGGGTAATTTTCATTGCTGGATAAATTAGCAATTATTAGCTCACATTTGTCACTGGCAATGAGTGTTCAGACGCATGATAACCTGTCATCCCATTGTAACTTGCTTGTATGTCTGAGCCTGAACAGTGACACTGAAGTGTCTTCAAAAGATATGGATAGACACTGAGTAGAGACTTACAAAGTTAATTTGAATACATTTTTCTGGGTGTTTCCAAGGAAGTTCAGGTTTTCACAGAACTGATACAAGGGCTCCTTTCTTGTTCTCTTTGCTGATGTTTCTGGGAGAAAATTTGGGGAAAGTAAGACTGTGAACCCAGGCGGTTGCGGCTCATTGATCCAACCTGCCTGGGAGAGCTGCTCGTGTTCCCATGTTCCCACCTCCCGGCGGAGTACAAAGCTCAGTTGTGCCAGCTCTGCTGGTTCTTTAGCTGCTTCCCAGCCAGATCAGTGAAATGGTAAAAAAGCCTCTCAAAAAAGCCCTCTTTTGCCTGTGAAGCATAGCATGTGGCTGCACAAACACCTGAACTGGCTCAGCTGAGGGGATGTAACAGGCAGATGGAAATGGAAACGTCCCTTAAGCTGGCTTTGCTAAACAGAGAATTCATAATGTGGGACTCCTTTCCTAGGCTGTATTTTGGCATTTTGAGTTAAAGCTATCCCTTCTGCTGCAAAACAAAGCCCTTTTCTATACCTGCTTGTTCCTGTCCCATGCCATCTCTATACTATGCAACATAAGCATTTTATGTTGGTGCTTGTTGAGTGGGACTGACAAATTAATCTGGAGGAAAAATAACCCTGCAAATAGATAAAAAGTCTCTCCTTGATTTTTTTCATGGCAGGGATGATGGAGAAATTCTTGTTCTAGCACAGTGCAGAGAGTGACACAAAGATGAAAATGAATGGCCGAGAAAGGTATAGGCTGGAGAGTGCTTCTTCCAAAGTGCCAGCTTATATCCATTTCATACCACAGCCCCATTACCAGAATGGCCTGTGAGAACCTGGTGTGTCTTCCTTGAGCTTTAGTTGTTTTCAGGGTTTCCTAGCTCACTCAAGGGACTGAAACAAAGAGGTTGGGCCAGTGAATATCAGTCATGAGAAAATTATAAAGAAAGCTACATACAAATTCTGCAAACTAGCAGTTGAGTGCTAATTACAACTTGTAAAGGAAGGATAAATACACGAGTGTCCTTAGTTCATTTATTTGATGAGCATTGCTACTTTTAATTATTTATGCTATGTGGTAGCAGATTGGTACAATATTTTGCAAAAGTAATGTGATCCAAAATGAGATACCTCAGCGCTACTTATTGCCATTAAATCTTTGCTAAGATATAGAAAAAGGAAATATTTAATGTATGAATTATGGGGTTTGCAGATTAGCAAAGTACCTGTTAGCACAGGCTCTTCTGTATTTATGAAGCACATTTACTCCTGTTGCAGCAAGCCAAGGCAATATCACATTTCTTGATATGTTTTGAGATTTCTGAGAAAGTCACAGTTTCTGAGATCTGAGCCCTGCCCATTCCTCCTTACCTTACTTGTTTGAAGAATCCCATGGGCAGAAGATGTGTTGAATGCATGAAAACATACTGATGCCTGAAACTACCTTGATGCTGTTAGTGATGCTCCCTCTGCATCCTGGGAGTGAAGGGGGCAGCAGTAAAATTCTTAGGTGGAACGAGGGATAGACAGTTATGGGGTGACTCTAGACCCCCTTTCACAAAGTCTGCAGCTGCTTCTAGTGTGTACAGTGCTGCCTTTATTGGTAAGGATTGCTCCTACCTGGAGAAGAGGTGAACTGTGGCTCACAGCCTATGCCAGTGGCAAGCTGTTCTCAAAAGCAACCTACAAAGAGACCGTCTAGATTCACATCTTCACTTACAAATTCTCTATAAAGGAGGGTGGAAGATGTGTTTTTAGGCAGTCTGGCTGTAGTTACACCACCAATGAAAATATTTGGCTGTGAACTGGAGGGGTAGTCCCCAGAGCACATAATTTCTGCTTAGAATTGGACAGTTTCTAATTTTGAATTCATTGCATTTGTTTACTGTATTTAGATCTCCAGCAAACATACAATTTGGAGAGCAACCTTCCCATTGGTGTTACAAGCTTTTGTAGAATGTTTTTTTCTGTGTCAGTATCACTTTTATGGGAAACTTCTATCTGCACAATATAGGAGAGAAGGAGACCATCCAGGACACAGTATTGTAACAAAAAGATCCGCAAGGTTCCAGAGAGCAGCTGTTTGACATACCAGAAGGCATAAAACATTTGTGCTTCTGTTCACTCTCCTCCAACTGTCTTTGTTAATTGGCTCTATTTTGGCTTCTGTCTTCTAATTGTGCTGACATCACTTTTGCATTTGTCCTCTGGCCATGGCATCTCATCTAAAATCAAGGATTTATTTCATCGTTCTCCTTCTGCATCCTCTCGAGGCTCCTCCACTCTGCAGTATTTTGAATACACTGACACACTCCTTGTCACACACACTTGTGATCCCCAATTCTTCTCCTTCTCCAGTTCCACAGCACCCCCGCTACTGGTGTTCAAGCTTCAGAGTTTTTTAGCAGCAACTTTAAGAGTCATCTTTTCCTTTCATGTCCAAGAAAGGAAAGTTCTTGTTTCTTTATTAGTTTCAGCAGTGAATATCGCGGCTGTCTTGGTTTCAGCTGGGATGGAGTTAATTGTCCTAGTAGCTGGTATAGTGCTGTGTTTTGGATTTAGTATGAAAATAATGTGGTAACACACTGATGTTTTAGTTGTTGCTAAGCAGTGTTTATACTAAGTCAAGGACTTTTCAGCTTCCCATGCTCTGCCAGTGAGGAGGTGCACGAGAAGCTGGGAGGGAGTACAGCCAGGACAGCTGACCCAAACTGACCAAAGGGATATTCCATACCATATGATGTCATGCTCAGTATATAAGCTGGGAGGAGTTGGCTGGGGGGCAGCAATCGCTGGTCGGGGACTGACTGGTCATCGGTCGGTGGGTGGTGAGCGGTTGCATCAATTTTTTTTCCTTTAAGCTGGGAGGAGTTGGCTGGGGGGCAGCAATCGCTGGTCGGGGACTGACTGGTCATCGGTCGGTGGGTGGTGAGCGGTTGCATCAATTTTTTTTCCTTTCCTTGGTTTTATTTTGTTTTTCTCTCTCTCTCTTGTTGTTTTACTTTCCATTACAATTTTTATTATTATTATTATTAATTTTAATTATTAAACTGTTCTTATCTCAACCCACGAGTTTTCTTGCTTTTGCTCTTCTGATTCTCTCCCCCATCCCACTTGAGGGAGGGAGGGTGAGCGAGGGGCTGTGTGGTGCTTAGCTGCCAACTGGGTTTAAACCACAACAGTGGCATACAACTTTCAGCATCCTGCTGTTGCTCTGGACTCATCCTAAATCCAGAATGAATGTATTTAATGTTTTTTCATGGAATGTCAGTCTTGTGCTTGTACATCTTCTGTGTTAAGAGGTGATGTGCAGAGCTGGAAGTCCCCAAAGCAAACGTTTGCCTTAAGGCCTATGTTATTTTTTAATTAGTTCAACATTTTCACCAAACAGTTCTGGTCCCTCTCTCATACAGTGTGCTCGTGCAGCTCCCCCCTTTCTTTGGTTTCCTGCAAGTCTTCTCCCAGACGCAGCTTATACAAGGAAGGGACTGGTACCTGCTAGACTATATAGTCCCCTGCCCCCACACTCCTTATTGCAAGTAAAAGGTCTTCCCCCTCGTGCTCCTGACTCATAGAAATAGTGAAGCTGCCCTTGCGTCTTGCAGGGCTTCCTCCCAGTTTTCAGTCTCATCACACCTCGACTGCTCCTGGAGCTTGGTGTGGAAAGGTGAGGACTTGGCACAGACAAGTACCTGCAAGATGTAGTCCTGGCCTTGAAGGCAAAGCATTGCCTGTGAGGCAGGACAGCTCCTTCCAGACTTTCTCCTCCTCAAACTGTCACTCACACAAGAAGTCCTTGAGTTGCTCCATGAAGCCACAACATTTTGGTCTTTCCACTCTCTTTTTCTCACATTTCTGCCACTGACAAGAAATGTGCCAGCAAGTAGAAGATGATGTAAAATATTCGCTGCTTACTGATGGAGAGTGTTCCTTCACTTGTATTCACTCGTATAGACTATAACTTACAACTCTTGCATCATGTGCTAATAATAATTTTTCCTTTTCAGGTTGTTACCACTGGAAACCCTGTCCTAGATTATGAAACTATGCCAAAGAGCTTTGATTTACAGATTTTTGTTGAAGACACAACTGGGAGAACTGATCTTAACATACTAACAGTCCAAGTAACAGATAAAAATGAACGTCCTGTATTTCGAGGAAATATGGCAATTCAAAGTAAGATAGTGGTGGTATTTGAAAAGAACAATACTTGAATAAATGACATCAGATTAAAAAAAACTATAGCTGCATACAGTGCCTGTAGCTGAAGTGGTCTAAGCATTTTCCTTTAGGAAAACAAGGGAGAAATAGGACACTGTTTTTATCAGAGCTTTATTTTACACAAATATTTTGTATGCTTCATCTCTGGAAATGCCCTTTTAGTTTTCTTGAAGCTTTGACTAAAAATGATTTAACCATTTTAAGGCACCTGAAGAATTATAAGAAAAAAAAGGTTTTTATACTAATAAATATATATGATTTTTTTTAATGAGATGAATACCTACCTAGAGGTATGTATTAGAAACCTGAAGTTTGCTGGGGATATAACCACTGAGTATGGGTACATGTTTCAGTAGTTTGTTGAAAACTGGACTGATTTGGAGAAGCAAGATAAATTTAACTTAGTGTATATTGTATATGTGCAAGAATTTCTGAGGGAAAACAATAAAAACATTGGTCTGTCACTGTTTTACACCTGCATATTGCATTTGCACCTGCACATGAGAGAGTAAGTGGAAAATCAGTTTGAAGAGTGAGATCTCAAAGATTGTGATCTATGGTGGTGCAAATGGAAAGAGGTAGAGAGTTCTGTCTCCCGCGTGGGACAGATGGCCTTAACCAGGTTTACTTTCAGACCACTGGCAAAGGTGCAACAGGGAGGAGTTTGCAGTAGCCTTAGGAATGAGGCTGGAGTGTCTGGACCCCGGCTGTCAGTGCAGGCTTTGCATGCCATGCAGTACCTAATACGAGTGACAACGCCATCAATAAGGACAGGAAATAATTGTCTTACTCTCTGAGCAATCTTACTTTGTTTATTTACTCATGAGAGGAACCTGGAAAAATTGTACCACGAGGTGACAGAGTATAGCAGTGTATTTATTATGTGTTCACACACAGACAGAACAGTTCAGGTAGTAAATAAAAATATGCTCTTATTATTTCATGAGGTACTGAGATCCTGTTTGAAGTCTTGATATTCTAACAGCACTGTATGGAAGAGCATTCAATAATTCAATATTCAATTTTTTTTTTCTACCCAAAAATATCAAACTGTGAGTGTTTGTGGTAAGTATTCGGAGCTGGCTGCAGACCCCTCCCCAGTTCTGGACTAGCAGCAGCGTTACGTAGGCTGTGACTCACAGCCCTTGGAGTGGTCAGTGGTGCAGCGTGGCTGCAGCCTCGACTTCTGTCTGCTGCAGAGGGCAGGGCTTGTCTGCCCGGACAGGTTCAGCCCAGGCCCACTCAAATCCAGCCTGCTTCACTAATGCCTCCGAAGCACATTGACATTCCTGCTTCCATACAATACTTAGCTTGTAAAGCAAATTAGCTTCCCCTAGGGAAGAGTCTGTGTCATCTTCTCAGTATAGCTGGTGTCTTGCATATCATGGGTGCTGCTGGAATCTAATAATAATTAAATGTGACACTTCAGGGGATCGGCACAGCATGAAACACACTCTACGTGGGAGCTTGTTACAAATAAGTGCATCAGCTTAGTGCTCAGCTAGAGCTGCCATAAATTGGTGAGCACAGATGTCTGATCTGTCTAACTGTGTGGCTTTAGTTAACAGTACCAGCTACAATTAGACGCTAATTGCGCATTCGCTGGTTATGAGAAAGCATCTCCCTCTCATTAAACTTTATATTCATACTGTTGTCCTCTGGGAACAACTCATTATGCTGCTCTGGTATTCCCACTGCTTTGATGAGAAGCAGCAGTCAGCAGGGGTCACAGTGGAAATTAATAGTCCAGAAACAGCGGGTCCAGCAGACAAAAAAGGGCATAAAGCAAATAATGTGATCTAAAGATCTGTTGTTCTGTTAATCACTATACCCAAGGAGAGCTAAGCCTGTTGCCAGTGGCCCAGTACGGGATGGCCCAGCTGTGAGAATTCTGGCATGAAAAGAAATACACCTTGCACTGAATTAGCACCCTTAATAAGGCAAAAATTTAAGTCAGTGCAGACCATCCACTATTTATTCACCTCGCAGGTGTAAAGGAAAAGCAGAAATGAAGAGGAAAGGCTCTGAGGCCTCCTGGCAGGGGACAGGGGGTGGACAGGGAGGGGATGGCGATGAGGACCTAGCACAGGGCTACGTTCTCCCCATCTGCATAGTAAAGAAAGACACAGGTGTAGCCCAAATGCATCATTTTACTCCACACCCTGTGAGCAGCTCAAGATAGACCGTATGTAAAGATCAATCTTTCTCCTGAAGGCATAATTCATATTGCAACTCACAGTGATGGTTGCCTGTTTACAGATATGCAATTGGTTTCTTTTTATCTTTTGAGTATTTGTGATGATTTTGGAATTACACTTGTGAAGTGAGAAGACGCAGCAGGCATCTGGACAGCTTCAGTGTATCAGTATGTTTGCTACCGTGTCCTTTATTCTTACCCAATTAACACTGAGTACACTTATATCCATGCAGCTGTAGCGATCTATGTCTTGGAAGGAGCACCTCCGGAATGCATTTACCAAGTCGATGCAGCTGATCCTGAAAATGCTGAACTCAATGTAAGTTGTGTTAAAGAAAAAAACCCAGGGATGATATAATCCACTGTATCTGAAATGCTAATTGCCAGCATCTTTCAACAAATGCCTTCCTTATCAGGAACACAGGAAAAGGTTTAGTCAGGAAAAAAGAAGCATTTTCAATAATAAACTAAGAAAACCCTGCCTCAATATTTGGACACAAATTGTATTTTGAGTTCTCAGCCCTCCAAAATTAAGGGATATTGAAGGCAGTATTTGATATAGTTAATCAGAGATACAGAAGAAATTGTGTCTCTTTTTAAAAAAAAAAAATGGCTTGCAAAACATTTCTTGTAGATGAGAGTGACTAAAAGTAAATAAAAGTTTTAACCTTCTGTATCGCAATGTAAATTCTTTTAAATGAGACAGTAAGGAAATTGCTTACAAGGCAACTGAATCTCAGCTTTTTGACAATCCCAGGGCAAACTGTGACCTTCAGTTAAGAAAATGTGTTAGTTGATCTGAAAATACTCTTGGTATCAGCAAAAATTTCTGGAAAGTGATAAGTTTGTTTGCAAACAGGGGAAAAGTAACTGCACTTACCTAAGAATTGTGTTGTAGCTTTCTTTATTGGCTTTGGCTTTATAAAGGACAGCACATTCAAGAACTGAACCTGAAGATGCTACTTCAATGTGTAGCATTATTCAAGAGCACAATTACCTTGAAGTCCATCCTGAGGCTTTGCCCAGTCAAACCACCAAACCCAAGCTGGTGAGGAGGGAAGCAGAGGCCTGGGGTTTAGCTCTGCTTTGTTTCTGAAAGCAACGGCAGTGAGTTCCACATGCCTTCTAACCCCTGATGAAACTCAGGCGTAATAAGATGCTGCAAATATAGAAATGCTGGGCAACAGGTAAAATAATAATCTGGAGAGGGAACTTAGAAAGGTCAACTGGCAAAAAAATTGTTAAAAGAATTGTAATCACCTACCTGCTTTTTTAAAGCAATTTCAATTAAATCTATCATTGTGGGAGGCAAGTTGTTTCACTCAGCTCTCTGTACCTCCTGTTTTTTTCCAAAAAGTAACACGAGAGCAGTTGCATCCCCTGGACAGATCTGCTCAGTGGATTTTGCAGATTACTTGTACGGTGCATGACCATCTGTTGTTGCATACTTCAGACTTTATGAGTATTATTAGCACCTGCACTAGCAAAGGAAATGTCCTTGAGGGCTTATTTGTGATGGCCTGGCAGAGGCATGTGGATGATAGCAGGGAGGATGTGGTGGGCATGTGGTAGCTACCCTGCAGCCATGGGGATCAGGGTGCTGCCTTTCTCCCTACTGTGTAGGGTGTCAGGGTGCTCAGCTCCCTCCCACACCCATGCACTGGTGCAGTACCCATTTGTGTTGTGCAATGCACAAAGCGGCAGCTGCTACATGCCACTGCTGAACAGCTGCATTAACACCAAGCTGTTGTGAACACCTTTCAGCCTCACACCCTCACGTACTCCGTGAAAGTCCACTCTCCCCTCCTTGGCCTCTCCCATCATCTGGACCCCTAAACTTCACTGCCTCCTGCACGGTGTATCTTATGCCCCCCAAATCCAGCCTCACCCCTTCTTCTCTCTCTTCTCCTTTGTACAAAGCTGATTTTTGCCTCCCGCACTGTGTTTCTGCTGGCTGACCTCTATGTTAAATTCTCATTGCAGAGCTGGAGTTCGCAGAGGTAGAGAATAGTGTGGGCTTTAATGTAGTTCAATGTCTGTGACTCTCCACTGGCTGTCAAGCAAAGCATGTACGACCAAGTTTGAGCTACTTCAGCTCCAATGATCAAGGCTTGTGCTGGCATCTGTATGTCAGCATGTTTCAATATGCAAAGTTTTGAGGCAAATACTGTACTATAATTTGGCCCATTTTACAAGGCAAGGAATGAATACAAAGACTAATTTCTTGCTCTCTTCATTTCAGTATTCACTGCTCCCTGCACCAGTGCCATTCTTGGTCTTGGAAAGCGGAGCCATTTTTTCTACAAAAGAGTTGGATTATGAGAAAGATCCACATTGGTGAGAATGTATTTTATTCACGTGGTCTATTAGCTTACAGTAGGCAGAGAAATGTTTTCCTACATAGCCACAGAACGATTCTTGTTTTGTTTTCTTATTTAACAGCTACTTTTTAAATATAACAGTGACAGATCCAGACGGACTCAGCTCATCTAAAACAGTGACTATAAATATAATTAACATCAATGATGAAAGACCTTACTTTACCACGTGAGTGAAAAACTTCTGTTGCACTCAAAATGTAGATGTTTTCCCAGCTTTACTGCTTTGGCACCAATGGGAGGGTGTAACATAAGGGCAAGTAAATATAACAACAAAATACTACTGAAAAAAGTATTTTAATTTTTTTATGATTCCTGTTCTTTTACTGGAAAGCTTTGCCCTCATCTCCCTCTTTTATTCTTATTTATATTCTTAATAGTTTCAAGTTTTCCAGGCTCTGCCTTCATGCTAAGAACAGGCATGCAAGCTTGTTGTACTTGTTAGCATTTTGAGAGGTTAAAGCTATGCAAAGACCTTTGGACAAGTTCAGACAAGGAGATGAATTTCACCCTGTGTGAATACAATCATACAGAATTTACCCTTCATGCAGATGTGCATTTCACCATAACGATGTTTATTCATGCAGAAATGTCTAGACATAAAAAGGTCTCACTTTTGATCTGTCTTCCTCTTCTTCCCAGACACACACACTTGTAAACAATCCCAGTGATCTTTGAAACATTGTCATCTCTTACTGTGTCATAAGCAGAAAATTGTGTTATAACACACAAGTCAGAAATAGCTTTTGAAGACTAATGGAGTTTTTTAGTTGGAATCAGGAATATTGTTGAAAATTTGGAAGAGTGGGAAAGAATATACATGTACCACCAGCAGACTGTTTTGGGGTGGAAAGTATGATGGACGACTGTTTCTGAAGCGGGAGCTTGACATTATTACAGTCAATCTGCTTGTGTTGCTGATTTATCTTTGTCACTTGCATGAGACACTGATTGGATTCAAGATACTCTTTATGTCTCCTGATCCTGAGAGTCTACAAGGTCCCTGCTGAGAATATTTATGATGGCTGCCCTCCTGCTGTCTATCCAAAGGAGAAGACAGTGTAGCACCTGGGCCATGCCAGGAGGTTTCCAGCCACTTGTTTGGAGCAATCTTCTGGGTGCTTTGTGGAGCCAGAACAATGCGTGGCTCTTGGGCTGAGGCCAAGGGTCTGGACCTTCCTGGGTAAAGGGGTGGAGAATCTGAAGAAACAGAAGAATGAAATGTTAGAAACAGACATGGATTTTTTTTTTTTGTTGCTTCTTATTTAATACTTGAACTTCTTGTCTGCAATAATCAATAAGGTTAACAGCTCGCTCCATATTACTGTACTGCTACAAGCAGGAGGAATCCTCTTCCCAGTGCCAACGTTTGCACATTGTGTTCTAAACTGATTATTTCCTCCAAATGTTGCCATTTCTGTTTATTTATCCTTATGTCTGGAATGCTAAAGGAGCTTTTTTAAGTATTTATCTACTTGTTTGAATTAGTGAAAGCTGCAGTGACTTGAGCATCTATAACACCTCAGGTCTAAGACTCAGTTCTCATATGGCACAAATAAGGCCTGGTATTTGTTTGAATCTTCTCCCTTTTAGATTGACACTACAGACCAAAAAGAGCGGCTCAGTTTGTAAAGAACTTTAGATTAAATTACACTTCATGAGCTGTCCTCAGTATGCGCGTGTATGGCCTCTCCCCTGCTACAATGTGAGCTGCATGCTGGGACTACATACTTTCTGACACTAAAATAATTAGTGCTGGGGTGGGAGCTGGGGAAACTTGACGAGTTAGCAAACCTTCTTTATTTTCTCCCGATCAAAGCTGTCAAGAATAGAGTTTCAAAGGGTCTTTTTAATTGTCCCCATAGTATATGCAAGCACATCTGGTTTTGGTGTTCACAACAATACATTGGCATTCAGCCTTTTGAAATTCTGGCTGTTAAAATCAATGGAAAACTTGTGGAGTCAGGAAAACAAAGGAGAAGACAAGAAAACAAACATATGCTTCTTTCACAATTACATTGCAGTATCTAAAAGGTCTGCTTGAACCACCCTGTAAAAAGCCACTGGCAGGTGGCAGACAGATGGACAACAGGACACAGCCCAGATGTAGCTGTGTAGGAAGTGGCCCCAACTCCTCCCCAGCTGTACTAGTACTCGGTGCTACGGGGATGTGCTTGAAAACATCCTGTTTCTTCCCAAGAAATCTGGTGGGGACCGGACAACGGCCCATGCAGGGCGCAGGGGGGCTGGCAGGGCTGCGAAGATGGAGCTGTGGTGCGTTTGCTGTTCACAGAGAGGTCTAAGTTGTGGTCCCTGTGGGCATAGGGAATTCACTACTTTGAGCCAAAACCAGTTAGAGCTGTCCCTCCCGTATTCCCCAGTGATCAGAGAGGCATTTTGGGGTGGCATTTTTGGTAGCAGTGAAAGAGATCTCTTGCTATTTGTTTTGGTTTTGAGTGACTCTGGAAGCAACAGGAGAACAAGGAAGGAAGAGATCCAATGCCAAGAGTGAGAGAGAAATTTAGTAAATACACTGACTCCGCAGCCTTCACAAACTCCTTGTTCACTGTTGTAAAGTTAGGTGCTGTAAGTTAGGTGTTTTTACTGGGAAAACCCTATGTGATTTCTCTCCTGCATGCTTTTCTCTTTTCATATAAGCTGACAAAACAGTTGAAGATACTGTGTTTTCTTAGCCATTTTTAAAATTGCTTAAAATGTTCAAAAAGGATTCAGTCTTGAAACATACTCCTAATGCTTTTCTGAACTCTTGAGCACCTTCATGTCCCTTTGATTTCTAGAAGCAGGAGATGTTTTTGTGTTTGTGTGTGTGTCAGTAGAATAAGTCAGCTGTCATAAATTCCTTGCACAGTGTTTGTGTGCTTGTCCATGCCTGCTTTTGTATGTGGTTCAAGTACCATAATTGCATACCTGAGTACCCATGTGAACATGCAACTGCAACCATAATAAGCAATCCTGCGCAATTGCCTGACAGACCATATCAGAGCTATAAAACTCACTTAATTCATGGGAAATTTGGGAGCACTGCCATACCAAACAGCAGCAGTAAAGAACCATTTTCTCTACGTAAAATGAATCAGACAGACAGATGTTGCTGGGAGTTTGGAGCATGTTCATCTGGTGGGCACCCACAGGAGTGCTCTTCCCTGCTTCCACCTACTGCAAAGGCAACTCGGCTTTTTAGTAATACTGTTGTCCCCCAAAAGCCTCCAGCATTCATTCCAAAAGATGATTAATTACATTACTGCTTCTACTTTTGTTTTTCTCTTGCAAAATGAAGGAATTAAAGCAAGTGGCTTTACAAGCTGGTGGCTCTGTAGGGAGATGGACTGCATGACTTACCAGCCCCTTCCATCTTCAGTTTCCATGATTCTGTGAAAGTCAAATTGTTTTTACCATGAAAAAGTTGCAGGGGAAGGATACATGCCAGTTCAGCTATTGCTACATGTCCAGCTGGCAGAACCAGTGACTGGGATATTTACCCTGACATGCAAATAGCCATCTCTGAGCCCAGCGTGGCCATGGCTCTGCTGCTACAGGTGGCTGCTCAGCTAAGTCTGTGATCAGCTGCCCTTGCAAACACAGATGTGAGCTTTGCTAAATTCTGTTTTATCTTGTAGAAAACAAAGAATCTACAGGATTCCAGAGGAGCAAAGCCCAGGCACCGTTGTTGCCAATATAACAGCTAAAGATCCTGATGATGAAGACTCTTCCAGCAGACTTTTCTATAGCATCCAGTCTTCTGATCAATATTTCTCCATAAATCCATGTAAGACAAACAAAAATGTGCCTTCTGACACCCAAAAAAGAGAGTGGCTACATTGGAGAAAATGTTTTTGCCTTTGTTTTAAATTGACTTATTTTATTCTGTGGCTACCCCTAAAAATAAGAAATGCCCAGTATGTTATCAGGGTCAAATTATTCTGTCAGCTGACCAAGATTCAGTAAGATGTCTTGAAGAAAGTAGGCTAAAGGTGACTTATTGACAAATATTGACTTATGGCTGGAGGGTGGAAGTAAGATTAGCTGCTTTCTTCTTAATCTCTGAGGACTGCAGTGACCCTTCTGGGGCTCTTGAAACAGCTGCACACAGTTAGAACATAATGTCCTCTCTCCTGCCTGAAATCTGCTCTAGCGTTGAAGTGCACAGCAAATCTGCACCTTAGCTTCATTGCTTGATCCATGACCCTCCTCAGGCAAGGCCATCCAAAAGAGTCCTCTCTTATGCTGGTCCTGTCTCCCCATACTCTCTGGGGTGCATACACCAGTGCCCTGAGGTTTTTGCTCCAGGGCTGGCATTCAGTGACTGCTTTGCTCCTTGTCTGCTATTGCTTTAGAACTGCTTATCACAGCTATAAGAGGTGCCACACAGCACAGTGCTGTGGGGGATCAGGATGATCCTTAAATGCTTTGGGCTCCCTATGTCCTTTGGCCAGGTATTGCCACCCTCCCCCTCAATTACACTCCAAAAGGCAGAGGATATATACACTGTTCCTTTACCTCCTTTGTGCTCTGGGAATAGTACTGTGCTCTGCCACAAAAACCGTCTCTTTTCAAACAAAGGCTAACAGAAGTGAAAAAAAATATTAAGTGAATGGCTGACCAGAGCACTTGGCGCAATCTGTCACAGCTAAGAGCAGCTCCGTTGATGTGTGAGTAGATTTAGAGGTGCTGAAGGATGCTTGAATGATAACAGTAGAGAGTGAAGCGGTCTTACTAGCTAGAGAACAAGGACAGCACAGGCATTAGCAGCTCATTGTCCTTGATGCTCTGTGACTGCACTCAACTCTGACTTGTACTAGCTCTTTGAGAGCGTAAGGGAAATCTAACTGCTTTCCAAGCCCTCTGCTGAGGCCACCAATGGTGTATTTTTGAGCAATGGGTATCTATCCATTAAAGTCTTACACAGAACTTTCAGAGCCATTTTGTATCATTTTAGAAAATAACTAAACCAGCCATGATTTGCACAGAACAGAATACTTTTTATTCTGCTACCTGTCTGCTGAGGTACCCTGTCCTCTTGCATGTACATCACGAGTTTGTTACTTCCCTCCATGGTGAGCATCTAACTTCTGGCTGCTTTCTGCCCAGCGACTGGAGTCCTGCACGTGACTGGGAGAATTGACCGAGATGCCCTTCCACTGCGTCTCCATCCTAACATCTCAGTGATAGTTCGGGTGGAGGACAGTCCCAGCGGTGGTCATGCCAGAGAAATGGAGATCACAATCATTATTGACGATATCAATGACAACCCACCAGGATGCAATCCTTCTACCTTCAGGTATCAATGCTTGTCATTGCCTTAGTGCTGCCTTCTTGCCCCAGACCAGTGTGCAGTTTAGGGCACATCAGTTGGGGTCCCCAGATCTACCACAGCTAGAAGTTCAAATGGACATTTATCTTTAAGTCTTTAAAGGTTAGTGTTCACTGTAAGTGTCTTAGGGCACAAAACTCAATTTCCTGACATGTTCAAACTGGAAATTTGGACTAAAAATATCAGTGTATAGTCAGATACTTTATCTGTCTTTCAGATACCTAAACCCGTAGGATATCAGAGCCATGTGCTATAGAGTTACTTTTCTGACCCATAGAGATCCAGGCTCCTCCTTTCTTACTTTATGCTAAACTGTGGGGAATCATTCACCAGGGAAAGCTTGCCAGTCAGTTCTGGAGTTTTATTTTAAACTTCCCGATCTTCTCTTCTAAACCTCTCCCTGGTGACCTGCATGGTTTTTACCTAATGCAATCTGTAAGGTCTTCAGAGCCCAGATCACCTCTTGTTATAGGTGACCTCTGTGCATAGTAAATTAGTCATGGACTTTGCTATGGCTATGAATGCTCTGAGACCTTTATGATGATCAGGTAGTTTATATTTGCAGATGAGGACATAACATTAACTCCATTTTACAGATGAAGTGTGTCATAGAAAGACTGAAGTCAAAATTGTTCATCTGAAATGTTTGATGTGCCTGGGCTCTGATCTTTCAGGGTACACTGCATTGCATAGTGCAGTTCTTCAGGTGCACTTACGGTAGTTTGACGGTCCTGCAGATAAAAATCCAGCATCTCAGGCCAAGAACCTATGCAATGAGGAATACCTGGTTAGTGGGTATCTGTTTAAATTGTTTGCTCACTATCTAATAGAAATGTCTTGCATTTAAATCACATACTTTTACATACTTGCAGGAAGAGAATCCAATTCTTCAGAGCCCTGCTTAGTTACATCATCCATGACAATAACACAACAGTCTCTCTGTTATCTAGTGAACTTATATTTTGATCTGAAGGAGGCAAAAATCTTCAGGGAAAAAATGTGATCAAATAAAGAACTAGTCTTATAAGGATTGCACAAGGGAACAAAATCAGGGCTTAATGATATTTCAGTTGGTTCTTCATTTTTTTGTATTTAATTCCTTTGATTAAAAAAAATTAAATTGACAGCCTCTGCCCCCAATTCCATTATGTGCATCACAGGGACCCTTGCTGTCAACAGCAGGGCCAGAAATGCTAGTTTCACAAAACAGCAGAATGGTCCAGCTATTAGTTAAGGAGAAAAGAACAAGCTTCTCATCAGGAGAACATTATAACATACTGAAGAAGTGAATGTTGTAAAGATGTTTTAAAATACTGATTATTAATTGAACTAATCTGGAACATTAAGATCTCGTGGCAGCTTCTGAAGTTTAGCTGAGTTCCAGGTTTATGGTTTGGATCTGGCTAAATGTTTATGTCCTGCCCATTGTACAGGGCTGTTGTCCACCACAGCGTATGGATCAGACACTGGGTTGCTTCATCAACTGTTGCCTATTTAGTGCTAGGATTTCACTTAGAAAATAAATGGAAGTCAATGTTTTGGCGTGTAATATATGAAAAGTTCAAGAAAAGAAATATAAGTTGCTCTGATGGGAAATGTGTTTGTTTTAAACAGGAAAGAGGCAAATGAAAATATGACTGCTGGGACATTTCTTCTTGGTCTTAGAAATTACTGTAAGGATATTGATGTTGATCCATCAAACAATCGATTTAATTTCACTGGATTATCTGGTTTTGGAAGCAATAACTTCGCTCTGGAGTCCACTGTGTCTGGAAGACTTGTGGTCAGTCGTTTGTGGCTTTATTTTAGATTGTCCCATTTCAGAAGTCAACTATAAAATATTATAAGTTCTTTGAATTCATTGTCTGTACAAGAAAAAAAGAAATACTGTAATTCATGTCACAGTGGGTATGATGTGGAGAATGACTGTTTTGACTGGATGTGAACTACATACCCTTTGATAGGATGCTTTCTATGGATTCTACAGAATTTGGTGAACAGACAACTGTTTTCTCCAGTTTTAAATAAATGTGCTAGATATGATTGAAAAAAAAATCCTTCTTTAGGGAGTGTGAAGCACCAAGTTTGATATGGATAAACAGAGAAATTTGATGCCATTTCATACCCATTTATTCATGACAGACTGTGGAAGATCCTTGCTATTCAGCATAAAGAATTGAAATACTTGAGAAACCCCACACTCAGTAACTACTTCGCAGCTTCATTGGTCAGAATTGTAAAACCACTTTGAATGGTAAATTTTCACAAAAGTGTGGTGGGATTTGCACTTGTGTTACTTTGCATGTCAAAATATGGGTTCCTTATGCTGATAGCTGCTGGCATATTTGCATTAGCCAGAACCCCCACCAGTTACTGGACATGTGCAATGGTGGTTGTTTTGTTGCTTTAAAAAGAGTCATGGACAAATACAGAAAAAGGGAAACATAGCAAAAAATAGGAATTCTGTCTAAAACAGGAGCAGTAAAACAATTTTGTATGGCTTGCTTTAATTTTTGATCTGAGGTATAGATGTCAACGAGCACTGCCCTTAGCTGCTTCATCTGCCAACATAAAAAGCATTTTCATTGCTGCACAGGATATGATTGTTGTCAGCCCTTTGATCACCGTGTATGTATAATGTAACAGGCTATCTGAAGTGTCCTGTCCCTGCAGGAATTTCCCTGTAGATGATAAACAGTGGATGCTTGTGCTTCCTGGTTGCCCCAGAGTTTATGAGGCTCCTACAGAAAGACAGAGAGTTCAGGAGATTAGGATTTAAATCTGCGTGAGCCACCATTTAGTAACAACTTGGTTCCTGGATAAACATTTCTGGCTGAACCTGATACCTTTAATACATGTCTGCAGGCATGAGCTCAAGGAGTAACTATTACTATTTAGCAATAGCAGATTCTTGTTGAGCCACCAAAAGGCACAGCAAATAGCCAGGTCATTACATACTCTTTGAATTAACCAGATAAAAGGTCAAGACCTTATGATCCAAATGATAAAACTTCCTGCACTTAAGGGGAAGATATTTTGTTGGCAGAAGGAAAGAGTTTTGAATTGCCAAGAGACACCAGGGCGTAGAAAAAGCCTGGAATCCAATCCTGTAATTGATTAATAGCCTATATTACTTGTACAGGGGAATTCTATATATCCAAGGGGGAGACCACACTTACAGAACGCTGAAAAAAAGTAATTGCCATCATGTGTATTGTGACTTTATGTAAGGAAGTATAAATACAATTGTGTTTCTTTTTAATTTAGATGACTGAAAGTATTGATTTAGAAAACCCAGCTAATCTAGGAGTTGAAGTTTATTCTTTGACTGTCAGGGTGCAAGATATTGCCTGTCCTAACTACTCAAGCAAGTATCCCTTTTACACTTCTTTTGATATTTTCCTGTGCTGTAACAGCATGGAGAGAAGAATGCCATATGTATTTTGAATATATGCATGAGAAAATTTTGCAGCCATACTTAACTATGATTTAATCTTCTGTTATATTTCCAGATATCATCTACATTTACATCAGGATAAAGCCAGTGAATGAATTTTTTCCAGTCTTCAGTAATTTATCATATGAATTTAATGTTCCAGAAATTACTAAAGGTACAGTAAGTAGCACCTACGTGATAGAAATAATGTTGTCATGTTGGTAAGTACCTTTTTGCTCCAAATGGATTTTCATATATTTGAATGAGGAGAATGGCTCAAAGTTCCAGTTCAACCGGGGTCTCACCGTACAACCACCTACTACCCTTAAATAGACAAAACTGGCAACAACTCCAGTTGTACATATGGAAGCTGAGACACAGACAAATTTGGCAATTGCACAAGAAATCTGTGACAGAGCCAGAAACTGAACTCAGATGTCTTGTTTTAGACCGTCTTGCTAAATTAGCCTTTTGGAGGGACTGTGACGGTGCAAAGAAACAGCTGTAGACTGACACAGATGAGTGAGGACTCCCTTGGCCCAGGCATGGTGCAGGATGGCCACTCCACTGTCCCCTTAGACCCAACTCACCTCGGGTGTAGTGGGTACCCTGGAGATGGGGTGGGATGGGAGTGCTCAGAGGGGAAGGCTTCGCTCAGCCAGACGGCAGCCAGAGCAGCTTCTCGTGCCCAGAGCCAGGGTCCTTCCCATTCCTGCAAGAGCCCAGGACCAGCGGCTGCAAACGTGGCCTTAAAACTGAATTTGTTGGAACTGTTCACATGCTTGACTCCCACCCCAGCACCCTTCCTGTCCCCTGGTGAGTCCTGCATCTCATGACTTCGCAGAGCAGTGTCATGGCATCTTGCCTCCTTGGTAATCCTCATGTGCCAGGTGCAACTGCCAGCCTGCTCTGTGCTGTGCTGCTTGGGGCACAGAGGAGTTGGCATGGGAATGGCATCTTCTCCAGCTTCAGCCTCTCCCTCATATGATCCAATGTACCAAATACAGGCCTTCTGTCCCAGGACCTCACTTACTGGCTTTATTCTGTTAGCTGAGAAAAAATTGAGAGGTCTGTTAGATACATGCTGGATAAATCTTGACCCTCATTCTGGACTTCCTAGGGTCACAGAAAAATTGAAGATGTAAGGGACCTCTGGGGGTCTCAAGTCCAACTCGTGCTCAAAGTGAAGCTAGTTTCAAAGTTTGATCAGGTTGCTCAGGGCCTCATCCAGTTGAATTTTGAAAATCTCCAAGGATGGAGACTCCACAACCTCTCTGAGCCCCTGTTCCAGCTGAGTAACCTTCATTCCCGGTAATTGTACCTTGCACCCAGATGGAATTTCCTATGTTGCAGCTTGTGTCTGTTCTCTGTTGCCCTTTCACTGTCCCCTTCTGAGAAGAGTGTATCTTGGTCTTCTGTATTATTGCCCTTTAGGTAGTGGAGCAAAGCAATTAAATGCCACCTTCACCTTCCCTTCTCCAGCCTGAACAAACCCAGCCTCATCAGCTTCTCCTCCTGCATCCTCTGCTCAACCCCCTGACATCTTAGTGGCCCTTCCCAGCCTTTCTTCAGTTTGTTAGCATCCCTCTTGTACCTGGGCCCCCAAACTGGTCACAGGTATCTTTATGAGTGCTGAGCAGAGTGGAGCAGTCACTTCCCACCATTAACAACACACTTAATATAGCTCCAGTATGCGGTCTCCATTCCCCCAAGGGTGCCCTGGTGGCTCATGTATAACTTGTCCACCAGGGTCTGGGGTCCATTCCTGCAGAGCTGCTGCCTGCTCAGTCTCAGCCTGCGCTGTTGCATGGGCTTGTTCTGGCCCAGGTGCAGGACTTTGCATTTGTCTGTGCTGAGCTCCACAAGTCCTGTTGGCTCATAGCTCCCGCCTGCTGGGCCCCTCTGAACGGCATGTGTCCTCCAGCACGTCCAACACTGCCCCAGGCTGCTGTTACTCACAAACCTGCCCCAATGGCCATGTCACCAAGGAAGATATCCAACTGTATCACTGCATCTGAGTGGAACATGGTGAAGCTGCCCATGAAACTCCAGGAGATTTAGCAGCCAGATAATCTAGTGTCTGCTTGAATTTGTCAAATTATTCTGGCCAGGGCAGGCTCAAAGCACAGGCGAAGGCAGCTGTGGCTATGGGCAGCAGACCTGCGGGCTCTATAGTGCTTCTGTGTCCATTTGCCTAAGCCAGGAGGCAGGGGGCAGGGGGAGGAAAAGGCATACTTCAAGCAGCCCCGCCATCCTGCCCACAACCTCCTCTCCCTTGCCATGGGCAAAGGAGCAAGCCCAAATTTCCAGCCCTCACCCTCAGCTCTCTGTTTTCTTCCTTCACTGGTCAGGAGGATCCTGCCAAGGTCCACAGGTCTGCAAAAATCACTCCTGCCTGCCCTGTGGAGAAGCCGTCATCTGCCACTGCTGAGTACGGCAAAGCTGCAGCTGGTGTAGGGATGCATGGCCTGGGAGTGAGCTGGAGAGACTGGGGAGTCTGGGGGTGGGGGGGGCTGGGTCCCAGGGGGATCTGTCTGGCAGAGGGACCCTGGTAGCCCTGGCTTCTGCAGGAGCCAAACTGCCAGGAAAGCAAGGAAGGCTAAGGGGGGACGAGGAGGCACAGGATGGCCACTCAGCAATCAGAGGACCCCGATCTTCAGGTGTTCATACCAGCATCTTGCATTGCTCAGCAGCCTGTTCTTCTTGCCCACCCATATTTCTATGGTACGTGGATGGAGCTTGGCTTTCTATACTGTTTCCCAGTGGGCATGACATGGTGAATTTTGTAGCATTTCCTATTCTGAGTGTGTCTCCTCATACCACTGACATGTACCTTAGCAATATAATACTTGAAACCCACCTGTGACATGGATATATCTGTAAACCTCTCTGTGTCAACCACAGAACTTTGCTGGATACTGAGACTATCAAGAGAAATAACACATTTTTTGGACTCAGACTGCCTTTTGTTTTAGGCTGAGTTGACATTAACAGGGTGCTTGCTATTGCCGTACCAAACAGGAGCCAACAATTTGCAGTAGGGCTGGAGTTCACAGGGTCAGGAAAGAAAAAAAAACTCCAACCCTTCATTTACATCCTCATTCTGTCTTACTTTGTGCATGTGGACTATTCATCCGGGTCATGTGGATGCATTTAGTGTTGAATCAACGGCTGCAGAGATGGGCGTGCATGGTCCCATCTTCGTTCTCACAGTTTACAGCACTGCCATTTGTAGTTTGCTTCATAAATGCTCGGCACAAAGGTAATTCAAACTGCCTTTCAAACAACTCGGAAGGAACAGCAGCACTTGCTTTTCAAAGCAGACAAATAGCTTTGTTCCTCCAACCAAGCCAGCGCTCGGGCTGCCACAAGGCAGGAGTTCGTGCGTGTCGGTGCAGGGCTCAGGGTGGCCTTCACTGCCAGAGCACTTCTGTTGTGGTTTTCTACAGACTCCTCATGTTTTGGTATTTATTGCTAGTAGGCAAGCCCGTACATGGGGGGAGCCATAGCACAGCATGGTGAACCAGTATTTCTCACACCTTTGCTTTACTTTTTTGGGGTGAAAAACTCTAAAACAAATCTTCAGTTCACTTTCATCAAGTTTTGGTTGGAACAAATACTCTGTACTTCCTTTTCCTTAAAATGTTAATGAAATATGGATTTTCTGTCTCTCAGTTGGATCCAGCATTGGAAGAGTGAATGCCAGAGACAAGGACTGGCCATCCAGTGTCATCACTTATTCTATTGTAGCTGGAGGAGGCAGCAGGGATTACACAAATATCTTCTGGATCAGCCCAACCAAAGGAGATGTGAAGATTTTAGCTAGATTAGACTATGAAACAACTCAGAAACACATTCTTACAGTACAGGCCTCAGACCAAGAGAAGACTGCAACAGCATCTGTGAGTAAATCCACTCTACTTCTCCCCCTTTATCTACATTTTTCTCTCTTCTTCCTGACAGGAATGGTAAGACATTAGGCAAAGCACTTTGGTCTGTAAAAGGCAAGTCCACCCCTGCACAGAGCTGTATATTAGTCAGATGAAAGAGGTGGTGTTCACTCAGCCTTGCTTTATTTCTTAGAAAAAAGAATTAAAGTAATATTTTTTGTATTTTTAACTCTGTGGATTTGGTTTCTCAGTCTTCTTATTTCACCTGGGCAATGAAATTGTTTTCTGTGCCCTAGACAATTTAAGATATTCTTTTTGGTTACATATGTACTGGCAAATAGAAAAAGGAAAGGGTCTTGAGGCCAGGTAGCACAACCTAATTTTAGCCATGCTTAGTGCCAAGTCCTTTTTGGACCTTGTGTAGTGCCCCTTGACCCTCAAACATACTTTTGATTTTGTATGTGATGTTTTTTCACTGCAAAGTGCCCCAAGTAATGTGAGAATCATGTTGCAGCCCATCAGAGTTGTGTTCTCATGGGTTGGGACAGAGGAGATGTGCTGCATACTTTGGGGATGGGATGAGGGCTTGGGCAGCCTCTTGGGATAATGTCAGAAGGCCCACCCAGTATAGCTGTGTCCACATGGCCTACTGGGGATGGACCCTTACACGTGCCTTCCCCTGACCGTAATCTAGTTTTGTCCCCGATGGTGCTATCTGGCAGGAGCCAAGAGCATGCAAGGGACCGTGATAACATTAAACAGTAGGGTTTTGCTCCAGTTTGCTGCCCAGACCTATTTTATTCAGACGAAAAAATACAGATGGTATATCTACAAAGGTATTTTAGAGTCACTTCTTTCAAACAATCCCAGTGTCCTTCACATACAGACTCCTCTTTACTCCTTTTCACATCTTCTCCCTCGTGACTGCCTTACATTAGATTTTTGCACATCTGTTGTGGGGGATACAGGTACTAGGCCTGCTTTCTATTCCAGCCAAGCACCACCCATGGAGATGCTAGGTGGGAGGTACTTAATTTCTTTATCAACTATAATATTTCAAGGTGATTAAGGAAAATTTAGCATCAGGAGCTTGTAACGATGACAAGTTTGTCTGTTGTATGTTAAAGACTAACGGACATTAGAGGAAAGAGCTTTGAGAAGGATAAACTTTTTCTCTCAGCCAGCTAATCCCAGCTGACATTAAACACATCTGGCGCTACCTGGGGTGCTCCCAGCCATGCAGAAGGCCGTTACCAGCATTTCTCTCTCACTGGGAACAATCAGTCTATAAGGAGTCTTCCTTCCTTCCTTGGATCATGCTCTGCATTATTATTAAATATGCTAAGAAACCTAACTAATGACAGTGAAGCAATTTGAGAGGTTTGAAATGAAGTTAAATGAATACGTGGTACTATTATTATTTCTCATTCTTATTATGACACACTTCAGGTAATTCAAATAGTCAGACACATCAGATCGAAACCCCTGCGGTTTTGGAAGATGGTTCAGGTTAAGGAACCTGTTCCCAGAAGAGTGCTGATCACAAGAAGAATTTGAAGGTCAAATGATCACAGACAGTTTCTGGTAGAAACTAGATTGGAAGGGAGGTTCATTGCTCTTCAACTGCTGTTGATCGAAAGAGCAAAATGGGCAAAGCCAAACAGTTTTTGAAGTTAATAAAATTCTGGCTCAGCACAGTGGAGGAGCTTCAGCTTGCTATCGCTCTTTTCTTTCAGGTAACTGTCAATGTTTTGGAAGTAAATGATGAAGAACCAGTTTGTTCACCCAATTTCTATTCATTTCAAATCCCAGTCAGCTTAGCTGTTGGGACCAATATTAATGGCTTCAGGATTGAATGTCAAGATCGTGATTCTGATCCCAGGTCTTTCCGTTACTTCATTAATGAAGGTACTGTGTCATGGTACGTGAACTGGGAGCAATGCAAAAATTAGCGAATGCTGATGGTTTGCTTTGATGCATAAAGAAAAGTCTTGCACAGTTTATGTGCTGTGTGTCATGGAGGGCTAGTTGTGATCCACAAGTTTCATACATCATTACTTTGCTGCTTACCAAAAGAGAGGTCTCTCCACAAGCTGACTACTGGTGCTACCACCTAGAACCATCCCCTTGCAAAACTGGATTGCCTACCATGTTAATTAATAGGCAATTAATTGCATATTGAGAAGGACTTCAGAAGAATGAGCTGGAATGATATGCAGGGTCAAATTTCACTTCCAATTACAGCTGAGTAAATCTTGAGAAAGGATGGTGGGTTCTGTTACTCTGCATACCTCACCTTTAGTTGCTGGTACACCGTTCAAAACAACTGAGCAAACCTGCATGTCCTAGGTCCATGCTGTATGCATTAAACCCCCATTTTAAGACCATGTGTTTGAACCTAGTAATCAACTGTATTCACTCGGAGAACTTCTACGGTATGGGATGACGCCCAGCTTCACAAAAAGGGGAACGTACTCTCTTGGGGCAATTTCTTTTTTTGTTGCTGAGGTGACTGCTGAGAAGGAGGGAGCAGATTGTCCAGGTGCCAGTAAAAAGCTGTGAGCATAAAAAGACAGAACCTCTGTCCTACTGCAGCCCCTTAACGCTGCAGAGGACCTCTGCAGCAGTGGTATTTACACATGAGCCCACACAAAGGCTGTGTTTGTATCAGTAAATCAGGGTCTGGCCACAGGTCCAGTATTGGCCCACACTGCTGAAGCATTGTTTGGTTGCTGGCATGATTTTGGTCTGTGCCAAGCAGTACATTCCCAAAGAGATCCTGGGCATTGCTGAGGGACCCAGGACCTTGCCCATCAGGCACTCTGTATGGGCTGACCAGGGTTAAGGCTCAGGGGTTTGGCTGTTCGGACGTCAGCTGTGCCATGCAGTTGGCCTCTGAGCCACAGAGCAGCCCATGGCCCATTTTGTGTTGTACGATAGACATGGCTTTCAAGGTCACCTCAACTCTGGAGCTCTATGGGGCAACGAGCAGAACCAAAGCACATGTGCTGCCTTTTCACGGCTTTGATCTCTCCTGTGCGTGGTCTGCTTGGAGCCTAAGAGCTGGAGCTTGTCTACCTGCAGCACCGGCCACTAGCAGATCTCCAGTTACATGGACAGAAATTGGAGGGCTGAGAGGCCAGCATCACTGAACTCCTCTCTGCCCCCACAGTGCAGGCGAAGTCCTGGAGGCAACTAACGTCCCCTGAGTCATTAGGTCTCTTCTGGGGGACCTCTTCAAAGGCCTCTGCCTCTGGGCAGAGGGAGAAGCCATAGGGAAGGGCTGGAGGGGCCTCTGGAGACACTGGTGGTGTCCATGTGGCCTAAGGGCCACTCCAGGGACACCCCAGTAGCGGGAAGAGGCCAGCAATAGCACAGGGTCCTCGCCCCGGCTGGGTCCTGCTGCTTCTGGGTGCTCTCTAGGCTGTAAGGACAGGTCATTCAGGTGACCTCTTGTGTGCCCTATGGCTCTGAAGTGTTTCCACAGCCTCCTCTCAGCTGTGTCCCCATAGAGGGTCTTATTCCATATTTTAATGCTTTTATGACTATATTGTTTTATCTGATTTTATATGATATCAGGGAGATCAAGGAGCCGTTCTTATCAATGGTATGTCACTGCACAGGTGTATAGTGACCCATAACAAGTTGTCAGTAGAAACTGATCTTTTTGCTTGTTCCAACCATTTACTTTAATGTGGGATTGCTCCCATAGAGGGTCTTATTCCATATTTTAATGCTTTTATGACTATATTGTTTTATCTGATTTTATATGATATCAGGGAGATCAAGGAGCCGTTCTTATCAATGGTATGTCACTGCACAGGTGTATAGTGACCCATAACAAGTTGTCAGTAGAAACTGATCTTTTTGCTTGTTCCAACCATTTACTTTAATGTGGGATTGCTTGTCTTTTTTTTTCTTTTTTTTTTTTGGCATTGGTTTGGTGTTTTGCTGCTCCTTGCAGGCAATGCGAACAATCATTTCACTTAACCAAGA